ACACACCACCGCAGTGTTATCCTGATTGGGTTGGTACATACACACCACCACAGTGTTATCCTGATTGGCTTGGTACATACACACCACCACAGTGTTACCCTGATTGGGTTGGTGCATACACACCACCACAGTGTTATCCTGATTGGGTTGGTACATACACACCACCACAGTGTTACCCTAATTGAGTTGGTACATACACACCACCACAGTGCTTTCCTGATTGGGTTGGTACATACACACAACCATAGTGTTATCCTGATTGGGTTGGTACATACACACCACCACAGTGTTACCCTGATTGGGTTGGTGCATACACACCACCACAGTGTTATCCTGATTGGGTTGGTACATACACACCACCACAGTGTTATCCTGATTGGGTTGGTACATACACACCACCACAGTGTTACCCTGATTGGGTTGGTGCATACACACCACCACAGTGTTATCCTGATTGGGTTGGTACATACACACCACCACAGTGTTACCCTGATTGAGTTGGTACATACACACCACCACAGTGTTACCCTGATTGGGTTGGTGCATACACACCACCACAGTGTTATCCTGATTGGGTTGGTACATACACACCACCACAGTGTTATCCTGATTGGGTTGGTACATACACACCACCACAGTGTTATCCTGATTGGGTTGGTACATACACACCACCACAGTGTTATCCTGATTGGGTTGGTACATACACACCACCACAGTGTTATTCTGATTGGGTTGGTACATACACCCACCACAGTGTTATCCTGATTGGGTTGATACATAGACACCACCACAGTGTTATTCTGATTGGGTTGGTACATACACATCACCACCACAGTGTTATCCTGATTAGGTTGGTACATACACACCACCACAGTGTTACCCTGATTGGGTTGGTGCATACACACCACCACAGTGTTATCCTGATTGGGTTGGTACATACACACCACCACAGTGTTATCCTGATTGGGTTGGTACATACACCCACCACAGTGTTATCCTGATTGGGTTGGTACATACACACCACCACAGTGTTATTCTGATTGGGTTGGTACATACACCCACCACAGTGTTATCCTGATTGGGTTGGTACATACACACCACCACAGTGTTATCCTGATTGGGTTGGTACATACACACCACCACAGTGTTATCCTGATTGGGTTGGTACATGCACACCACCACAGTGTTATCCTGATTGGGTTGGTACATACACACCACCACAGTGTTATCCTGATTGGGTTGGTACATACACACCACCACAGTGTTATCCTGATTGGGTTGGTACATGCACACCACCACAGTGTTATCCTGATTGGGTTGGTACATACACACCACCGCAGTGTTATCCTGATTGGGTTGGTACATACACACCACCACAGTGTTATTCTGATTGGGTTGGTGCATACACACCACCCCACAGTGTTATCCTGATTGGGTTGGTACATACACACCACCACAGTGTTATTCTGATTGGGTTGGTACATACACCCACCACAGTGTTATCCTGATTGGGTTGGTACATACACACCACCACAGTGTTATCCTGATTGGGTTGGTACATACACACCACCGCAGTGTTATTCTGATTGGGTTGGTACATACACCCACCACGGTGTTATCCTGATTGGGTTGGTACATGCACACCACCGCAGTGTTATCCTGATTGGGTTGGTACATGCACACCACCACAGTGTTATCCTGATTGGGTTGGTACATAGACACCACCACAGTGTTATCTTGATTGGGTTGGTACATACACCCACCACAGTGTTATCCTGATTGGGTTGGTACATAGACACCACCACAGTGTTATCTTGATTGGGTTGGTACATCACACCACTACAGTGTTATCCTGATTGGGTTGGTACATACACACCACCACAGTGTTATCCTGATTGGGTTGGTACATACACACCACCACAGTGTTATCCTGATTGGGTTGGTACATGCACAACACCACAGTGTTATCCTGATTGGGTTGGTACATACACACCACTACAGTGTTATCCTGATTGGGTTGGTACATACACACCACCACAGTGTTATCCTGATTAGGTTGGTACATACACACCACCACACTGTTATCCTGATTGGGTTGGTGCATACACACCACCACAGTGTTATCCTGATTAGGTTGGTACATACACACCACCACAGTGTTATCCTGATTGGGTTGGTACATGCACACCACCACAGTGTTATCCTGATTGGGTTGGTACATACACACCACCACAGTGTTATCCTGATTGGGTTGGTACATACACACCACCACAGTGT